TCCGCACCTCAGGTCAGGAGGGCCTGAGATGGCACTTTGCTTCTTTGTTAATTTTTACAGTAAAATTAAAAAAAATTATATATTTGTCATTTAAAAAGTGAGCCTTTTAATTGACAAAAATATAAATGCAAAGTATGTAAGTTAAAGTTAAGTGTGAAAAGTCCCCCTCACTGCCTTTCCATTCAACTCCCCGCCCCTCCCAGAGATAACCACTGTAGAGGCAAACACTATTAACAACTTTTTAAATAGCTTTTCTTGTTGTTAAGTACTATGAAGTCAGTCCCAACTCATAGTAACCCTGTACAGGGTTTCCGAGGCTGTAAATCTTTACAGGAGAGGGAGTGGGACCCTGTTGATCGTAGTCTAGTGTTGATCCTACTGAGCCACCGCACTCCCTTTAACAGCTTTGTTGAGATATAATTCATACACCATACAATCCACCTGTTCAAAATGCAGAAATTACCACTTTCATTCACAGAGCTATGTAACCCTCGGTGGAGCCCTGATGGCATAGCAGGGTATGGGTTGGGCTGCCAACATGTTGTCAGAAGTTTGAACCCACCAGCCACTCTCAGAAATTACATACAGGGTTACTATGAGTCAGAACGGACTCGATGGCATACAACTAGAAGAACACAATGTAACCAGAGGGAAACCCTTGTGGCATAGTGGGTGAAGCATTAGGCTGCTTACTGAAAGGTTTATAGTTCGAATCCACCAGTTACTCCACTGGAGGAAGATGAGGCTGTCTGCTCCTGTAAAGATTTACAGACTCAGAAACCCTATGGAGCAATTCTACTCAGTCCTATAGACACACTGAGTCAGAATTGACTCATGTAATTTTGGAACATTTTTTAAAAAATGTTTTATTGTGAATAATGTGATCGTTTACATGGAAAAACATTAGTTTTATATTCATCCTATCGTATATCGTTTCATTGCCATGGTTACAATCCCCTCCATGCATCATCATTGGAACATTTTTATCATCCATAAAAAAAACCCAGCAACCTATGCCCATTAGTTATCACTGCCCAATTCCCCACCTCATCTCCAGTCATAAGCAACCCCCAATTTACTTTTTGTTTCGATAGATTTGACTACTCTAGACAGTTTATAGAAATGGAATCATATCATGAATGACCTTTTGTGTCTGGCTTCTTTCACTTTAGCATAATGTTCTGGTGGGTCATTCACATGGTAGCATGGATCCGTAAGTACTTCATTCCTTTTTATTCCAAATACTACGATTCTCCTGTATGACTACTGCTGTTGTAGTTAAGTGCTATCAAAGGAGAACCAGTAAGACGAAGCTCTGATTTCTCAGCAGAAAGCATGCAGGCAGGAAGGCCGTGGGATGACATGTACAAAACTCTGAAAGAAAAAAAAACCTGCCAACCATGAATCACATACTCAGCAAAGTGTCTCTCAAATACAATGGTGAAATTAGGACAATTCCTGATAAACAGAAATTAAAGGAATTTGTAAGGACCAGACCGATTTTACAAAAAATGCTAGAGGGTGTTCTTTGGACTGAGAAACAACAATAGTAGACAACAGCCTGAGAGTACCATACATGATAACACGATCTAGAACTCAATTCAAATATGTTGTTGTTGTTAAACACTGTGGAGTTGGTTCTGGTTCTGACTTACACGGACCCTGCATAGGTTCTGATTATCGCTTCTGAGGCTTTAAATCTTTGTGAGAGCAGAAGGTCTCATCTTTCATGGAGCAGCTGGTGGGCTCAAACCGCTGACTTGTGGTTCATAGTGCAGTGTTTATCAAAGGGAGCCACCATGCTCCCCAATCCAGATATGGTGGTGCTGGTGGTGGTGGTGTGCTGTGGAGTCGGTTCCGACTCATAGCGACCCTGTACAAGGTTTCCGAAGCTGTAAATCTTTACGGGAGCAGAAAGCCTCATCTTTCTCCTGCAGAACGACTGGTAGTGTCAAACAGCTGATCTTGAGGTTGGAAGCCTAATTTGTAACCACTATGCTACCAGAGGTTTTTAAGCTAGAAATAGAAGTATTACAAGTAAAACAAACCTATAAGACTAAAATGTTGACGGAGATATCAACGGTATAATGACGTCAACTACAAAGCTAAAAGATACAGAACTTCCAAAAGGGAAGGCAGTCAAGTAGATTTCAATATACAAGCTATTATTTTAAATCGGGAAAAATATTAACAAGCTACAGGGTAACCTCAAAGAAAATGAATACACTTGCACATCAAAATAAATAAAGAAGAAAATCAGAAGGATTTAATAAACATGAACACAACAGAAATGAAAATGTAAAGAAAATCTGCAAATAAAATGAACTCAGCATAGAAAATTATGTGGAACAGAGAAACCAGCAGCATCACAAAAAACCACACTCACAGCAAAATCACAACAATCAATTCATACCACTGATAATTACACTGAAGGCAACAGAAGAATGTTTAAACAAACTTTGGTCCATACATACAATGGAATACTATGCAAAGTTGAAGAATAACAATGAATCTACGGAACAACTCCTGATGAGGATGAACCTGGAGGAGATTATGCTGAGTGAAATTGTTGTTGTTGTTGTTATGTGCCGTGGAGTCGGAACCGACTCATAGCGACCCTGTACAGGGTTTCCGAGGGTGTAAATCTTTACGGGAGTAGAAAGCCTCATCTTTCTCCCAAAATTAGTCAATCACAAAGTGACAAATATTGTATGAGACTAATGTTGTAAAAAGTTAAAAGGTTTTCTTGATAAAAGAAACAATCTATGATGGTTGAGGGGGAGGGGAAAGGAAAATTATTTACAGACTATAGGATAGACACATAAACATGGGTGACAGGGCAGGCCATACACAATAGGAAGATTAGCAGAGGAAAGATGAAGGTAGCAGGAGACGGAGGAATACAAGAGTTAAAGGGAACAGAGGTAAATACTGTTAACTGTTGGTACATGAAGGGGATTGCAATCATTGTAATGAAGCAAAGTACATGATTTGTTGAATGTGAAACTGATCTTCTCTATAAACCTCCACTCAATTCAGAATAAATTAAAAAAATAAAAACGAAAACAGAAAACCTATTGAGAACAGAAGTACTCTGACACACAGGGTCACCGTGAGTCAGAATCAACTTGACGACAAGTGGTTGGTCGGTTGGTTGTTTTTCTGCAGAGAATTAGGATCACACATTGTTTTGTATTTTTTAAAAATCTTATTTTAACTATTTTCCTAGCATACCAGATGTTTTACATGATTTATGGTTATAAGATAATTGAATCAATTCTCCATCGCTGGGCATTTAGGCCATTTCCTAACAAAAACATCATTACAATGACATGTAACTTTTTTCAAGCATCTCATAATTCCCTTTGGACAAATTCCCAGATAGATTCCAAGGTCAGAGCCTGTGCCTGTCTTTAAGACTCTTCATCGTTTTCCTTTGCCAGTTAACTCTCAAGGGAGAATAGGAAGGGGTAGGGGGACTAAAGCTGTGTTTTGTTTTTTAACTTTTAAGTAGATGAAGAAATGGAACATTTCCAGCCCCCAAAGCCCCCTCCCCATCTCCACTCTCTGAAGAGTGGGATTTTAAAGCCACAAAAGCCTATGAACAACAACAACAAAAGCCGATGAACATCAGTCTCCACCACTCTGAAGAACTAGACGGTGCCTGACTTCCATTACCAACTGCTCTGAAAGGATTAGAAGGTCTCTTTGGGAAGAAATGTGGAACAAAACTCAAAATTATATATATATGTTGTTAAGTGCCATCGAGTCGGTTCTGACCCATAGCGACCCTGTACAGGGTTTCCGAGGGTGTAAATCTTTACAGGAGTAGAAAGCCTCATCTTTCTCCCGCGGAGCAGCTGGTAGTTTCGAACCGCTGACCTTAAGGTTCGCAGCCCGATTCGTAACACACACACACATACACACACACACACACACACACACACACACACACCCCACCCACCCAAAAAACAGAACAGGCTTACTGGTCAGAAAGAAACTCGAACCGCTGACCTTAAGGTTCGCAGCCCGATTCGTAACACACACACACACACCCACACCCCACCCACCCACCCACCCACCCACCCACCCAAAAAACAGAACAGGCTTATTGGTCAGAAAGAAACTGGAAAAACCTGAGACTGTGGCCCTCCATCACCCTTCAGGTCTGGAAAGGAACTCACCCTCATTAGCCCCAATATTCCATGATGCAGTAGATAGGTATATGAGGTGTGGAGGGTAACAACACTAGCAAGGTAGGTTCACCATGGCAATCATTCAAAACCAAAAGGATAAAGTTGACAAGGGATGGGAAGGGGGATGGAATGAAAATAGGAACCACACAAAGGAAGTGGGATCAATGTTACAGGGAGGCGATTGCAATCATTGAGATGAAACAAAGGTTATGATTTGTTGTATGTAAAACTGATGATCTTGTCTGTAAACTTTCACTCAAGTCACAACAAAAAGGAAAAAAAAAAAAAAAAGAGCTTGATTGCGTTTTTAGTTTATATTGTTGTTGTAAAATGCCCTCGAATCGGTTTCCACCCACATCGATCCTGTATAGAGTTTCTGAGGAGCGGCTGGTGAGCTTGGACCGCCTTTGGGTTCAAACCGACTTTGCTGTCCAGCCCATTAACACACAGCGCCACACCAGTTTATACTGGGGCTCTGATAAAATCTAGACCACGTAAACAGTTTGGGTGGCCCACCTGCGCGGAGACCCAGCGGGCCCGCCAGGTTCCCGGCGTGCAGCGCGGCGATCCCGGCGTGCACCGCGACGCGGAACCGGCGACTATTTTCTTGATAAACGGCTCGGTGAGTCGGCGGGAGAGGGGACGGTGTTCGGGGAGATACTTTTCGTTTTCTGGCAGCCGGAGGCAACGACGACGACGACATGGAAGTGTAAGTCATCCATGACGCGTCAGGCTCTGGGGCCGAAGCTGGGAGTCGAGAGGTGGTGATGGGGCGGCCCCTCGTGCGGGATTGTGGAGCGGGGGATGCGGGGGGTGGGGAAGGACGGCCAGTCCGGGAGGGCCCTTGGGACCCGGGTGGCTGGCGAAGAAAGTGATTCCCGCACTGCCTGTCTGAACCTTCGAGCCTCGGACGCCTGGTCAGCTGCCCCGAGTCTTTTACAAGCGTTTCGTGGGTCGCCGTGGAAACGGGAGCTTAGAGAGGAATAAAGCCCTGGAAGTACTTGGAGGGGACAGAGAAGTGCTGGGATAGAGCTGTGCCTAGGGACAGGAGGCTCCTGCCCCTGCCTAACCCGGGGGAGATGCCCGGGAACTGTTAGGGAGGGCAGGAGAAACGGCGCATGTGTGAGAGTGTGCTTACAGGAGGGAATAAATGCCCTTCTAGCAATTGAACTGACCCTGGCTTTTCCTTGTTCGCATATCGTACTGCCTGCAAATGGCAAATTTTTTCTATGGCCCTCGATTACCCTTCAGATCTAGAAAGGAAGTCACCTGCGTGTCCCAATTTTTAGCCAAGCTGTAGATGACAATCTATATGGGGGTGGATACAACACCTGGACTGCCCGGTCCTGTGCCAACCTCACAAGTGTTGCTATGCCGGAGCCAATTGATGCTGCCACTGTGCCAATCCATCTTGCTGGGGGCCTTCCTCTTTTTCTTAGACTCTCCACGTTAACAAACATGATACCCTTCTCCAGTGACTTTCCAAAGTATGAGAGACGAGTTTTGACCATCTTGGCTTCCAAGGAGCACTCTGGTTGTACTTCTTTCAACATAGATCTTTTGTTGTTTTGCCAGTCCAGGGTACTTTAAAAAATTTCCTCCAATACTATAACTCAAATGCATCAATTCTTACACTGTCTTCCTTATTCACTGTCCAGCTTTCGCATGCCTATGAGGTTGCTGAAAATACCATGACTTGGGTCAGGTGTGATTAGTTCTCAAACTGACATCTTTGCTCTTGAACACTTTAAATAGGTCTTAAGCAGATTTGCTTAACGCAGTACATCATTTGATTTCTTGCCTGCTGCTTACATGAACATTGATGGTTGATCCGAGCAAAGTGAAGTCATTGACAACTTCACTCTTTTCTCCGTTTATATGGACGTTTACTGGTCCAGTGGTGAGGATTTTTGTTTTCTTTACATTGAGGTGCAACCCATACCAAAGGTTGTGTTCTTTGATTATCATCAGAAAGTATTTTAAGTCCTTGTCACTTTCAGCAAGCAAGGTTGTATCATCTGCGTATCGCAAGTTGTTAATGAGTCTTTCTCCTAAATCCATGTTTTTCTTCATATAATCCAACTTCTTGGATTATTTGCTCAGCATACAGATTGAATAAGTATGGTAAAAGAATACAACCCTGTCATACACATTTCCTAATATTAAACCATTCTGTTTTCCCTTGTTCTGTTCGACCAACTGCCTCTTGGTCTATGTACAGGTTCCACATGAGCACACGTGTTCTGGAATACCCAGACTAATCAATAAAACACAGGTAAACATCTTTCTGGTATTCTCTGCTTTCAGCCATGATCCCTTTGACATCAGCAATGATAATCCTTCATTCCACAGCCTCTTCTGAATCTGGCTTGAACCTCTGGAAGTTCTCTTGTCAGTGTATAGTTGCAGCTGTTTTTTGGGTTACCTTTAGTAAAATTTTACTCGCGTGGGATATTAGTGATGCTATCCAATGATTTCTACATTCCACTGGGTCTCTTTGGAATGGGCACAAATACGGATTTTTTTTCCAGTCAACTGGCCAGGTAGTTGTCCTCCAAATTTCTTGGCATAGATGAGTGAGTGCCTCCAGTGTCCCATCAGTTTGTTGAAAGATTTCAATTTGCATTCCACCTACTCCTGGTGCCTTGTTCTTTCCCTGTGACTTCCTTGTACTTTGGATGTCTTCCTTCAAGATCGTTGGCTCTTGATCATATGCTACCTCTTGGAATGGTTGAACATCAACAATTTCTTTTGGTACAGTGACTTTGTGTATTCCTTCCATTTTTTTTGGTATTATTGTTATTTTTTTTAACTCTTTTATTATGAATTATGTGATAGTTTACATGGGAGAACATTAGCTTTACATTTATCCTATCATATATTGTTATATTGCTATGGTTACAGTCTCCTCCATGCATCATCAACCAACCAAAGGTTACACCCTGCAGGCCTGCCCCTGGGTCATCAGCACACAGTCCCTCTCCCTCTCTGGGTCTAGAGTTCCCAGCTACTCCATCTCTTCATGTCACTGTCTCTGCCTCCATCTCTGGCGTTACTGTTTCTCTGGGTAGGGTCCTGCACACCACTCTTCTCCCTTGATGGTACCAGGGGTCTCTGCTCCTGGCCTGCAAAGGCAACCACTTCCTTTTGCTACAAAACATCTACCTTTACATTTCCAACCCTCACAGTCAGTCCTGATATTAATTATTCACTATTGGACCACATGAGTGGTCTCCTTTCATCATAGTCTCCCAGACAGATTGGATACTACTCAGCGGAGATTCTACCTTCCTCCACGCCCTCTGGATCTAGGCTCCCTCTTGAAAGCCTGTAAGCCAGTCACTTCTTGCCTTTGTAGCCTCCCCACCCCCCATTTTGGGTAGCCAGTGTCCAAGTTGCCCATCCCCGTCTATCCTGTGTATGGAGGGGTTGGGAATGATCCTCACTGTAAAGATTTGTTCCCTCTTTTGAGCTGCTGCATCCATAGGTGTAGGTCAAGTTCATCAGATTATATCAGATTACCCATTTTTTCCTTCTTCTTTCTTCTAGTTAAACTCTGATCATCCAGCCATTGAAGTCAGGTCAAGTGGGTATTATCTTGACAGCAAGACAGGGAAATTAAACACATCCAAATTGGCAAAGAGGAAGTAAAACTCTCTCTATTTGCAGGTGATATGATCCTGTACATAGAAAACCCCAAAGACTCAGTAAAAAAGCTACTAGATCTCATTGGAAGTTCCAGCAAAATGGCAGGATATAAGATCAACATACAAAAATCAGTTGGATTCCTCTATAGTAACAATGACAGTGCTGAAAAGGATATTAGGAAAGCAATACCATTTGCATTAGCCACCCATAGGATGAAATATTTAGGGATTAATGTAACCAGAGAAACAAAGGACCTATACAAAGAAAACTACAAAACACTACTACAAGAAACCAAAAGAGACCTACAAAAATGGAAGAATCTACCAAGCTCCTGGATAGGAAGGCTTAACGTCATGAAAATGTCAATACTGCCCAAAGCAATTTACACATACAATGCAATCCCAATCCAGATTCCAAAAACATTCTTCAAAGAGATAGAAAAAACAATCACAAACTTTATATGGAAAGGAAGGAGATCCAGGATAAGCAGAGCACTGCTTAAGAAGAAGAATAAGGTTGGAAACCTCTCACTCCCCGACTTCAAAATTTATTACACGGCTACAGTGGTTAAAACAGCTTGGTACTGGTACAATGAAAGATACATTGATCAATGGAACAGAATTGAGAATCTAGAAATTAACCCATCCACATACAGCCAACTGATTTTCGACAAAGTACCTAAATATATGGCATAGGGAGGGGATAGTCTTTTCAACAGATGATGCTGGCAGAACTGGAAAGCGATATTCAAAAGACTGAAACAAGACCTTTACCTTATACTTCGTACAAAAATCAACTCAACATGGATTAAAGACCTAAATGTGAATCCCAGAATTATGAAGGCCATCAAAGAAAAAATAGGGACAAATATGAGGGCTCTAATTCAGGGAATACACAAACTACCAAACATTTTGAAAACTACACAAACAAAAATAGACAAAATAGATGATTGGGACATACTAAAAATTAAAAACTTAGTGCATCAAAAGACTTCACCAGAAGAGTAAAAAGGGAACCCACAGAATGGGAAAAAATCTTTTGCAACGACCGCCCATCTTCTTTTGATGCTTTCTGCGTTGCTCAATAGTTTGCTTAGGGAATCCTTAAGTACCACAAGTTGAGGTTTGAACTTTTTCTTCAGTTCCCTCAGCTTGAGAAATGCCGAGTGTGTTCTTTAGAAACTATAGGGAGCATTTTTACTCTGCCTCATGTAGGAGTCCTGGTATGGCCCTGTAGGATGATGAACTGGAGTGCAAGGGTGGTTTGAGCTGCAAGGTCAGCGGTTCAAACTCATCAGCTGCTCTTTGGAAACTCTATACAGGATTGTTATGGGTCGGACCTGACTTGACGACACTTAACAGCACCATAGGGTCACTGGTCAGAACCACTTGACGACAGTGGGTTGGGTTAGGTTGGCTTTGTCTCTGTAAAGGAGCCCAAGTGATGCAGAGGGCCAGGCAGTTGAGCTGCTAACTGGAAAGTTAGCAGTTTGAAACCCCCAGCTGCTCTTCAGAAGAAAGATGAGGCAGTCTGCTTTCATGAAGCTTGAGAGCATTGAAGACCCCAGGGAGTAGTTCTGAGCTCCTATTAGGTTCTTTTGGGTCGCAGGGGACTTGACAGCAGTCGGTGGGCTTGTCTCTGGTAGCACCCTGGTTTATTGTTTCCGTGATTCCAAGTTGTCATACTAGATACATGCGTGGTTAGTACCTCGCTTGTCTCCCTCACAAGAGGGAAAGCTCTATGAGGGCAGGAACCTTGTGCTTAGCACTGCATCTGGCACACAGTAGACACTTAGCAAACACTTGTTGAAGTAATACAACAAGACTTCATTAGTTGAATAAGTAAAAATGAATTCGCTAGCATCCTGGTTGCTGGGCATTGCTGTTTTCTCATTTTCTTAAGTGACGTGGTTTGAATCAAGAGTTCTCACTTGTCAGTGACTTCTTCAAACCAGTCAGGAATTTTGCAGCTAAAGCTTATGGGAAACAGGTTTTTGGAGGGTGGCTGGATGGCCTGGGAGTAGAAGAGCCCCTGGAACGGAAAGGTGTGGCGGCCTAACCTGGTTCCTGCTGGTCACGGTATGACTCCTTGAGGTAGTCAGCAGAATGCGGAGTCCCCGAGAGCAGGCCTGTGTCTGTTAGAGACTCCTAGCGTCTGAGGAGGGAATGAGGAGGCAAGGACCAAACGCTTCCCCCAGTTATGCTTATGTTGTTTCACCATCGCTGAGAGACCAGTACATGATAACATGTTTTCTTAGACAGAATGACAG